TAAACAATGTTTTCTTTGTCATCACTAAAAGCACTATTAACCGAGAGTGTTTTATTTTTGGCAAGTTATCATTATCCTCTGAGCATTTTTCTGCATTATTTTCAGATTCATGCTTTACCTTTTGCAAAAAGTGTATGTAATTTTAGATTGCTTGCTTCTAGTTAAAAGATCTTTATAAATTTCCTTATATGGTGCTAAGCACTTATGGAATAAGAGAAAAACATCTGGCAACACCAGAAGCAGAAGCGTCGTGATATGGCAAAATTGAAACAATTTTCGCAAAGGACCATATGTATGGAAACGAGAAAAGAAAATTTACACACTGAAGTACTAATAGTTCACGAAAATAATAATTTTTGTAAACTATTAGTACTTAAGCATGTAAAAATTTATTACATTTCATGTTGTACAAGGGTTTTACCCATTTCTTGAACCGTGTCAGAGTGAATCCGTGCTATAAAAGTACTGTGTTATACGGGGGATGGTATCAATTCTGGAACTGTGTTAGAGTGAATCCGTGCTATAGAAGTGCCGTGTTATACGGGGGTTACCTGTATATTATGAATAAAATACCTTTTGAGAATGACAATTAATTAATAAGCTTTAAATGTGATTGGAGTTGAATAAAACTTTTAACATAAACAGAAAATTCAGAAAAATTTATTGAATTAGCACCTTGCAGTTCACTATCAATTTCTTTTACTATTAACTGAGATTGACAGGTTGTCAGCTAGATATTGTCATAAAATGCCATTAATTTTGCAATATTAATGATAAGGAAATATTATTGATAAGGAAATGATTTAAAATATCTTATCATAACACACCTTTCTTGTTGCCAAGATAGTTTTATTGAAAACTAACATTTTCAGCCTACTCTAATTTAAAATATTTTTCAAACAATTTTACAATTTATTTAATGAAAACAAAACAAACAGTATATACATAAGTAAAGGCATATTGTTCAAGAATCAAATGCACTTACTGTATTTGTTATGCTGTTTAATTTGTCTTGTCATTCTGGAAGTAGTACCCACTCAATTTACCATTTTAAATAAGAATTAATGGTGCAGATGTTTTTTACCTTGATGTTAAAATTTATGTCAGGAATACAGATATTTATGAGATGCAAGTGTGCACGGATAATCGGGAGTATACTGTAGTTTTTAAGTTTAAGGATTGTTGTATGTATTAGGAAAAATTTGCTTTATCAATATCAGTTGAAACATTTGTGATTCAAATAATTTATTTACATTTCAATGTAATGGTCTGAAACACAGTGTGTAAATTGTGTACAGGTAAAACAGGCAAACAATAAAGATTTTTCCTGTTTTCTCTGGATATGTATCCTCATTTTGCATGACTTGGACACTTGTATATGCAAGTAAATATGTCTTATTCCTAGTAATACAATCTGTCCTAGTAGACATTTAAATAATAAAATTCAGTGTAAATAGTTTATCATATTGCTTTGCTAGTGATGTCTCTTTCTCTGTAAACCAATTTAGCGCTGTTAGATATAATTAAGTAAATTTTTGCTTGATTTAGAAAAATTTTCATTGAAATTTCACGTCTCAAAAGTTAGTTATGACAGAATTTCATTTTTAATGAATTTAATTTTTTTTTTATAAATACATACATGAATTGTTATAATTGAATCTTTAAATAATACTCAAAAATTTTAGGGTTTACTAACAGAGGGAATTCCTTTTGAAAGTTTTCCCGCTTGCCTATCTCTTCCGGCTCATTCAGGCCCATATCCTGTAAATTTATTTGGTACGCCGCGTGGAAGAGGTGAATTGCGCATTTTAGGTAAATCTTATCATTTTCTTTGCATATACATTTTAACATAAATATTTAAAATGAAAAATATTTTTGACAGGATATACAACTCAGGTTTTGGGTGTCAAAAGTAATTGCAAATTGAGAGATCTGAATGGGATCAAGAGACCGTTCTATTGTATCGATATCATTCCGGCACTTCCTCAGTTACAAGTTACAACTTCGCTTCCCAAGGCGAGCACTTTTTCTTCACTTGCTAATTCCAGTGCTGTCGTAATGAGTGCTGCGGTCACAATATTTGCTGGCGAAAGGTATTGTAGACTCTTTAGTTTCTCAAGTAACAATTAGTTTGTCTTAATTAAGTAGTTATTATCTTTTAAAGTCGAGAATGTACGATCACTCTGACCAATACTGGAAAAGAAATGGTGGAACGAATAGACATCAGCGTACAGGTTAAATCAGATAAATGTGAGAATTGTGAATTTTTGTAAATAATAACGAATAAATGATAACGAAGTAAAATTAATAAATATATTTATACTTTCAGCTAAAGAATCATCTTTTTTCACTTGGAGCCAAGAAAATTTAGCGATGCAACTTCCGATCACTCCAGGAAGTTCGGCTTGTTTTACTTTGTACATAAATGGTCTCGGAGAATTTGTATATCCGACACACAAGAAACCAATAGAAAGAATAGGTAAGTATTATTTAAACAATTAGTTTTCTTTTAGTATAGTTAATAAGATCTGTATCCTCTGTATAAAACAGATAATTGTGATAGGTTAACAAGTAAAGAAATTCACTGTTAAATTTATAATAATAGCATCAATAACCAGACAATATATATTCTGTCAATGTATAGCATACTGTAACCAGACAACCAGACTGCTATATATATATGCATATATATATATATATATATAGAAAATGTAATGACCTGCTTAACAACATTAAAAACTAGACAATGGGAAAAGTAGAACTTCAAATATATATTTAAAATTACTTCGAATCATTATTGCATCGTTAATAGGAATTACCAGCAAACTACTTCAATGATCTCACGCATTTCGTTTCATTAATCTTAACTTAAAATCGTCATGATTTATGTACTTTTTTTATTGTTTACATTTATTCCATTGTTAGAAGCAATTCATATTGAAGAGTATGATTTTATCGTTGGTAAGTGGTATTTTTGCATATGATTATTAAGCAATCTTAAATGCACATTTAGACATTACTATTTAAAATCGTAATATATAAAATTATATAAAAATTATTTAAAATAAATCAATTATATTTATTTTAAAGTCGGTTCTGGTGCGGGAGGATCAGTAATTGCTAACAGATTATCCAAAAATGCTTCCATCACAGTACTTTTGTTAGAAGCTGGAGAAAGACCAACGTTAGGTAGTGAAATTTTAGGGTTATCCCTGGGCGAGATTCCACCAAGATTTTCCTGGAATTATACATCTGTACCCAGCAAAACATACGGACAAACGATAAAGAATAGAGTAAATTATTTTATAGTTTAATTATATGTGATATTTTTATATTTTAATCATAGTTTTTTTTTATATCATGTAGCAAATTTTAACAATGGCAGGAAAAGTTTTAGGAGGATCAACTAGTGTAAATGCTGGTGTTTATACAAGAGGTAATAAACACGATTACGATAATTGGGCTAGAAATGGTGCTGTTGGTTGGGATTGGAAAAATGTTTTTCCTTATTTTGTAAAAATGGAAGACAATAGAGACATAGAATTTGTTAAAAATGGTAAGATTTACAAAATATTATTTGTGTTTGATGGTTTAATATTTAGTAAAAATTTTACAGGTTATCATGGAGTTGGTGGAGAATTAGTTGTACAATTTCCACCCTTTTATACATCTTTAACAAATGCATATATAAAAGCAGCAAATTCTTTAGGATATCCGTTTGGTGATTACAACGGAAAATATCAAACTGGTAACGAATTTTAAAATTGTTTTTATCCATAATAATATAACAGCATAATGGAAAATTTTCTATAGTGGAAAATTTAAATTTATTTATTTTTTATTCAGTTTTTACGCTACCGCAAGGTACCATAAATAAAGGATTAAGATGGACAGCAATTCGAGCATTTATCAATCCAATTATTGGTAGGAGGAATTTTCGCTTGATTACTTCAGCTCTAGTGACAAAAGTATGCTTTGAAAGGAAATTAACTTAAAATAATTCAAGATTAATACGAAATAATAACGTTGAAGTATTTCAGGTATTAATTGACGATAATAATAGAGCTTACGGTGTTTTATTCGATCACGAAGGAAAACAAATTAAAGCATTAGCCAGGAAAGAAGTGATTGTGAGTGCAGGAACATTCAATTCTCCCAAACTTCTTATGCTGTCAGGAATTGGACCAAAAGAAGTTTTAAATAAGTTAAACGTTAGTATGAGATGCTAAATTTTATGTTATTTCTTGGCTTCTTAAATGTAAAAGTTTTATTTTTAATATTAACAAATCTATAGCTTAAAATTAAAATTGTAAATTTGGCAACTTAATAGGAATAGACAATAAAATTAAATATTGAAATTTTATCAAACTTTAGATACCTGCGAAGGTAGATTTGCCTGTAGGCCACAATCTTCATGATCATCCTTCAAATTTTGGTTTACGATTTCTGGCTGATGCTTATACCCTTAATGAACATCGCATTACTAAAGAAGATTACAACGAGATTCTAATTAATGGAACAGGTATTTATTTTTTACACTATTGCTTCCTTATTGTAAAAGATACCACCGGTGGCTGAAGGGATAAAACTGCTGAACTCTGGTAGTTGGTCGCGAATTCAAGCTAGTCTCGTGGTGTATTCCGGATTTACTTTATTTATACAGAAGTATCGGTTAATGGTGTTATGACATCTAATGCAAGATTTAACTGCTTAACATCAAAATAGATGCCGGTATCCTGTAGAAAGTCTTCTTTGGAGGCACCTCCACTTGACTATCGCCCATGCATTGTTTTTTATTCCATCAGTATAATCCAACCCTTCATTGTAAAATTATAAAGTTTTTTTTTGTTTTGTATTGGTAATTACTGCAGTTACATTATTATTAACTCACAATAATCACTATAATTTGAAATCGTTACAATGGAATTAAGTGGCATTAATTAACTTCAAGTTCTGTAGCAATGAAGATCGTAGATTTTCATCTGAATGGAATCTTACCTGTCTGACTTTCAATTATTTCGGGATTTTAAACGTCGGAACATCGGTTTTCCAGGATTTGATCACCATAATATATTGTAAAATCCAGCAGAGAGTTTCGTAACCTACCCAGCAAAATAATTAAAATTGTCTGTAGCGTCATCTTTTAAGAAATTTTATTTAAAATTTTTTATATTAATTATTATAAAATGGCATGAGCTTGATTACGAGGGCAGAGATGAGTTTTATAAAAATTAGTAAACACTAATAACTCATAAAATCGTCATTAAGTCTGACCATACTCGAGATATGACACATCCCTCTGTCTCCTCCTTGACATTTAACCACCGAAATTTAATAGCATCAATGCACTCAACACGCAATCCTTCTCGCAAAATTTCAGAAATTATCGTCAAAAGGCACAAAACTTATTAAACTTCAAAGTAGGTAAACAAAATTATGTCCCTCCACACTCACATAGAATGACATCCATGCATACGTAAAAATACCCCAACATTTTTGCATTTCTTGACGTTCAAGATGTCCTGAATCCAAAAATATAGAAATCTAAAGGTACCGTTTTTTGACCGCTCGCTATATTTTCCCTCTGTTATATAAGTATTGTATAATAGCCAGAAAAGTAATACAGCCGATTACCAGACTTTTGTAGTGTTGTATACTTCATTTGCAGGAAGAAAATTTCAAATTATTACTCATTATACTTCTAAAAATGACATTAAAGTATCAACAAAAGTATAATATTTAAATATGGAATTTCATATTGCATATCAATGTAAATTTTATAATGTACATGATTATATTTATGTAAATTATAACTTTAATGTATATATCACATCATGACTAAACAACTGAGTATATAACGTCATAAGAATATAGAAAACATCCCAAAAATTGTCATAAATAGGAAAATGCAAATGTGATTTGACTACAGTTGCTGTATTAAAGGTATGATTATTTTTAAAAATTAAAAATTTAACAAATTATTTTTCTTAGGTCCTCTCACTAGTCTTGGAGCAACTGAACTTATCGGTTACGTATCTTCAAAATATAATAAGCAACCTGATTGGCCAGACTTGGAAATACTTTGGGCTACTTCAGGAAGGTCGGATTATCTGTTAAATGCCAATGAGGAGGTTTGGTTTTATATTTTATTTCTTAATTTTAATGAAAACCTGTGATACTTATGTATTTATTTCTTTTGTTTGAAATTTTCAGTTGCAGAAACTAATTGATCAATTCAAAAATCAGGATCTTCTTAATTGTAATCCTGTAATGACTCGCACCAAAAGTCGAGGAATATTGACATTAAAATCAAATAATCCCTATGACGATCCAATAATCGATATGAATATGTTTTCTCATCCTAACGATTTACGTGTTTTAGTAGAAGGTTAGTTCTTAAAATCATCAGTAGTAACAGACTTACCTTTACATCCTTTACATTATAGTATATTCAAAAAATATTTGATAGCAAATAATGGTAATTAAACAAATTAGGTAGTTGGAATATTTATCAACTGTTTATTTAAATTGTCATTCAATAGCAATAGCCTAAAAATTTTCTTGTCAAGAATCTCATGAATATAACATACGAAAGATTTAAAATTATTCAAAGTTATAAGAATAATCTTGAACTATTTAACACCAAATTTATAAATATTTGTTTATCTGATATTGTATTCTGTACGTGCCTTCCAATGACCGAATGGGTACAGCAATTCGAGCATTTATCAATCCAATTATTGGTAGGAGGAATTTTCGCTTGATTACTTCAGCTCTAGTGACAAAAGTATGCTTTGAAAGGAAATTAACTTAAAATAATTCAAGATTAATACGAAATAATAACGTTGAAGTATTTCAGGTATTAATTGACGATAATAATAGAGCTTACGGTGTTTTATTCGATCACGAAGGAAAACAAATAAAAGCATTAGCCAGGAAAGAAGTGATTGTGAGTGCAGGAACATTCAATTCTCCCAAACTTCTTATGCTGTCAGGAATTGGACCAAAAGAAGTTTTAAATAAGTTAAACGTTAGTATGAGATGCTAAATTTTATGTTATTTCTTGGCTTCTTAAATGTAAAAGTTTTATTTTTAATATTAACAAATCTATAGCTTAAAATTAAAATTGTAAATTTGGCAACTTAATAGGAATAGACAATAAAATTAAATATTGAAATTTTATCAAACTTTAGATACCTGCGAAGGTAGATTTGCCTGTAGGCCACAATCTTCATGATCATCCTTCAAATTTTGGTTTACGATTTCTGGCTGATGCTTATACCCTTAATGAACATCGCATTACTAA